CACACACACACACACACACAAATACACACACACACACACACACGCACTCACGCACGCACGCACGCACACACGCACAGACACACACACACACACACACACACAAATACACACATTGGTGCCTGAAAGAGAAAGTTTGGTGCATGTAAGACTGCATGGATATTTGCACTTTAATAAAGTGAATACAAGTGAGCATGTAATACTAGTGCCGGAACAGCTTTTTGGTGTGTGTGTTTTTGTGTGTGTGTGTGTGTTTGCCGTAGATTGTTGGGTATGTAAATTCCAGGGGAGTTAGGTTAATTGGCTCTGAAAAAGAGGTGGGTGTGTCTCTCTCCTCTATGACAGGCTTATTTACATAGTAAAGCTGTAATTACCCTAACGAAGCCCCCATCCTATCAGGGAGAGTGCACACACACACACACACATATACACAAAGGCACACATGAGCAATCCCCAAACAGGTTGGAGCTCAATCATGCCAAACCTGTATTTTCCATCACTCCAGATCCCTCTCAGAAGCATCCATTCACATGTTCATTTCTAATTGAATGGCATCCTTTGCAGCGCCAATCAGTGGGTTTGTTGAAATTTCTCTATCAGAAGTCATTGGCATCTGAGAGAGATGTGGGACCTGTTCCAGCACTTAGCAATCACTTCCTTCCTTCACCCCCCTTTCGTAGTCTTTTGTAAAAGACAGGCTTTCCCTTTGTGAGTTAGGAGTAATAAAACAATTTAAAAAACAGATTTGCTTTGTGTCATATCAATGAAAATCTAAATTCCAAACCATTGTTTCGGGGAATGAAGAGATGTAAGAAGAGTGTTGACATTTGGGGGAATCATTATCCATCAAACCGGCTGAAAAGTATCCAAGCAAGGCAAGTTAGAAATTCATCCACAAGCTTTTGAAAGTTTTCTGTTATTGACGTGTTATTTTTGGAAGTGTCAAAAGACAGGGTATTTCAGTGTTCGCCGACCTTGAGGTCAAGACTCCACAAAGGGACTGTAAGATACAGTACATCTGAGGGGTTGTGAAATGATAAGAAACCACATTGTTTGTGTTGATTGGGACTGCGCTCAAGTCAAGATAATTGTTTTTCATAGCATAATGTCACCTGTGCCTCAATGGAGCTCAACAATCTGTACAAATGAGAAAAAGCTCCCCCTTTAAAAACACCTGAATGATGGAAGAAAATCTCAGGAAGACCAAGAGGGTCACTGTGCTCTGAACTTTTCTATTAAAATATTGTAAAAGTTTAAAATCTTGAGGCCTCTCCAATCATCTTAACGTTTAATGAAAAACAGTTTGTCTTTGGTAAAAACTATGTTGGCCACCACTTTGGTGCTCGATTTAATCATTTCCGCCATTTCCCTAAATTCCTTTTGCTAGCCTGTAGATAATGTGCCTGAACATGCAGAATTCAGCATGTAACAAGTGCAATAAAGCAAGTTTTTCCTGTTATAGTAAGGTGTTTCCCTTACTAAAAGCACAGCATGTGTTACATAAGGGTGTTATGCTGAGGCCAGTGTCACAATATCTCTGCAACTGCTCTGCATCTTCGACAATGGACTCCTTTTTGTAGGATTGTTGTGCAAAACATTGATCACTGACAGAAGCTACTGCATTGAATTGGGAGCTGGACAATATTTAGATAACACATAGCTCCATGAGTTTTAACTCCCAACTCTGTCATCTTGTAAAGTGACCCCATGCGTCAAATGATGACACTCCATGCACACCTGTAGCGTCAGTTTTTGATGTGTAGGTCGTATTAATTAGACAGGAGTAACATAGGCTGTCATGTGACATACTTTAAAGACTGGCAATTTGTTTCTTACCTGTGCAATAAACATACCTATTTGAACACAAACTGTGATCTTTTTTTAATCCTAACCAAATAGTAATGTAGCTACATACGTCCTGTTATTAACACATTAACGTGGCATGAACCACGCATTGAAGTCTATCAAAGTATCCTGCATGTTGAAGAAATTATGCTAAAGGTGCATGTACAGTAGGTGCGTTAAAAGTGAAGCCAACAGTTCCCGACCAAGTGTCTGTCTGTAACATGTTGGGAGCGAGGAAGTGCTGGCAGCTCTAATTAAAGAAACATGTTTTTTTATTTTTGCAAGAATTAAGGTGAAATTACCCTTTGTTATATATAGATATTGCTTTGTTTGTTCTTCTTGTTAGTGTTTGAGCATTTTAGTGTGGATCCTCCCTTTAAACAATATGCAGTGAACCCAGCACCTTCACCGGGGCAGCAGCACCCAGTGCTCCCATCGCTCCCTCGGTCTCTGCCCTTCCTTCTTTCTACACTTCCTATTCCAACAGGAATTTAATCTTTCAAGCCATCGTTGTTTTTCTTCTCCCCTATTTTTACTGCTGCTGCTGCTGCTTGGAAGACCACAGACTGCCTCTGTATGCGGATGCCCCCACCTCCCCCCCTTCTCCGAGCCTGTCTCACGCTTTCTGTATCTCTATTTGTCTAACTCTCTCATGCTCACCGTCTCTCTCTGCCTGTCTCGCTTCCTCTGCTCTCTGTCCTCATCTCTCCCCCCTCCTCCCCCTTCTCCTCCACCTCACTTGTTCTCTTCTCTACTTCTTCACTCCTTCTCACCCCTCCCGTTCCTTTTTTTCTCCCTCCTGTCTGTCCGTCTATCTGCTGTTCCGTAGCTCTACTGCTCTACGTGCCACAGATTCAGATGGCAGTCAAATGCTAGATTGAGACAAACACGGAGACACATGCATGCAATTACATGCTCTCTCACACACACATATAAACACACACACACACACACACACACACACACACACACACACACACACACACACACACACACACACACACACACACACACACACACACACACACACACACACACACACACACACACACATAAATGCACATGCAGACCAGCAAAAGCACGCATTGACAGAGACTCACGTACGTGAACACACCTGCACATACAGATGTGTGCATTCATTTTTAAGAGTATACACTGTGGTGTCACATAGATTCAAGTATTTCAGTCACCTCCCTCAGTCAGTTGAGCAGGGAGGATATTACTCTTGTAACACAAAGCTCAGACAAACAGAATGCAGGAAATATTAATGAGAACGGAGACTTTTCGGAGAGATTTAAAATCAAGAAAGAGACAGTCGAGGAAGAAGTTGGGATATGGTGCAGCAAAAAGAAAACTGTATGAAATATAGACTTCTCAGGTAAAAGTATGAGATACTATTTGTGTATGGACTGTTTTAATGTTCTGGTGAGAGGCAGGCAGCCACAGTAAGAGAAAGAGAGGAGGAGAAGGGAGGTGGGGGTGGCGGGAGAGGGAGAAGCAGAGAGGAAAGAGGTCAGCCTGAGCTTATGAAACATTTTCTAACCTAACCCGGCCTATTTCTGACAGCGCAGGACTGAGGACTTACAGTCGGACACACAAGTTCCCAGGGTTGACAGCAACATGCCTTTAGGGACTGGCACATATCAACAAACACACACATACTTTATCTTACAACATGTAAGTGAGTGACCTTACATATTTTTCAGCTTTGGGGCCTTTTTTGAAACTGAACCTTAGTTTAGAGTTTAGAAAACCAAGGCTCAAAACTATTACCTTTTCTCTTGATTTCTGCTTTGCAAAGTAGATCAACACTTTGGGAAGCACACTTGTTCGTGCTCCTGAAGATTTAAGTGATATGAGAAGATTGAAAGATTGTTACCCCTCTCATGTCTGTGTTTCAAGTATGGAGCTAGAGCCTGGAGGCGATTAGCTTAGCTCAACGTAAATAGTGGAAGCATGTTAAAACAGTCTGGCTTGCTTACCTATATCTTACACAATAAAATGTTCAATCAAAATGTTAAAGTGCAACTTTGTTTATACAATAACCAACAAACCATGTGCAATATGTGAAATATATAAATGCCGTTAATAACTGTGTAATATATACCTGGCTGCTAGATCCTAAGAACTATTACAGGATGTGTATTTTTTTTAAATTTTCCTGTTAAACCCCATCCCTATTTTTCAGGTCTCAGGCTCAAAAATGACATTCCCAGAACAAATGACCATAACTACACTTCTAAAAGGGGAACATTAATAATCTTTTTTCTCAAAGTAATGATGAACCTGTGAGTTGGATGAAAAAGAGTCAGAATCAATATAGATGTTTTTTATTTTAAGGAAAATTCAAATTGAACATAGTAAAAAACTGTAAATTATAGTGTCCGTCCAAAGTTTCTTTTTTACTTATAGTGAAAACCACCCTTGGATGATGGTAAGGTAGACTAAAAGCTTTAGGAATCCAAAGTACAACATATAATAAGTACCCTGTATCAAGATTGATGCAAAACAAGTGACATTTGACCTTTTTAGAGAGGTTTAGCAAAAATAACTCCACCTCTGAGGTGATTTGGGTGGAAATGGGCATTTTTACCGTTTCTCTGGAACCCATTGGTCGATTTTGATGATTGACATCTCTTTTTAACCGTTAGAGCCAATAGAATCGAAGGGGAATTTCCACATACACCCATGTTAACAAAAAAAGGTGAGGGCTTTGCGTATGCGTTTTCCCCCCCGGTATCGGGGGTGCTGTGTAGAACAGGTTTTAAGCCTGATTTTTTTTTTTTATCCTTTTAATTTATAGCATTTTGTTTTTATTTCAAGCTGTAGCCTACAGTACATGACATTTTTTGTTTCGTTTTTCAGATGTAACCCCGGTGGGTCTAAAAGTACCTGCGAACAAACTCAAATTAAATATAAAAACATCATTCAATCTGGTAAGTTCACCTCTTTTGAGGTCTTAAAAATACATACACGTTTTGTATTGCTTCAATTGGTCTGTGTTTCATAACTGTATAGGAAAGCGGTCAAATTTTTTCCCAATGCTTGCAGCCAACAAGAAAAAAAAGGACCAGAGGAAGACAGGAGGGGGCCCTCCTCCAGCAGAATTCCCCCCTGCCTAGGAGGTGGCCCTCAACAACAATGAGGGTTGGCCCTTGATGGTAGGGGTGGAAGGGGGGTTCTCTACGGACCCTGGTGGCAGCAGCTCCCACCACATGTTTATACAGGGTAAGAGTCAGGGAGCTTAAACAGCTGGATGCATAAAACACAAATATATAATATATCCATTGTTGTGGGAGTCATTAACACGTAATTGTTATTGTTTCTGCAGATGATGGGGAGAAGGGGTGGAGAGACTGTGGTGTTGCTGCCCCCCCCAAAGCAACAACACCTCTTGCAGAGGTATTACAGTCACCGTTTGGTATGTCACATATATGGTCGCTGATATGGATAAAAAAGACCAATTTATCATTTCTTCTTTTTTCAGGAGTGCCGAGTGAAGGTCTTCTAAAATAAGTGTCCTAGCCGCTTACGCAACCTGTAACGAGATGGATAACCTGTTTTTTTTTCAGGGAGTGTCCTTAAAATTGTGGAAAGTGGTCAGCATTCAATATATTTTCAAGTTGTTGTTATTCTTTAATGGCAGGTTTTTATGGGAGATTCGGGTGCCAACACCCTAAGGCCCTGGACCTATCCTGTAGTTTGTGGTGCGTAATAATGGAAAAAAACCAAGTGACTAAAGAAAACTGAGTGGAACATAATTGAAACCACAGGTTAAAAGTCCCAACTATTTTCAGCTCCCTCATTGAATCAAATCAAAATGACTGGATGTGTCAGAACTTCTTCTTTAATCAGAAAAAGACACTACAACGAGGTAATTGTTTTGGAGACAAGTCAGCAGTGAAGCTTCATTACAAGTGTTCAAAACACAGAAGAAGCCAGAATCTTAAGTGGAGTCATGATCCTGACTTGCATTTAAATAGTTGCATTAAAGCTATTACAAATTCAGCTTACTATCACCTAAAAAGAACAAGATCTAGGATTAGAAAAAGCGTGTCCATCGCTTTTATCTCAAGTAGACTGGAAACTATGTAAATGGTGTCTCTTCACAGGTTCCACTCAAAAATCTTTAGAAAAAGCTGCAGCAATTCAGTCAACGCTGCGCTCGAGTCCTCACAACACTAAGAAAAGTGGATCCAACATCACCCTCCTGTCTGAAGTCTTTACACTATTCAAACGTGACTTCTGTCTGTCAAAGAAATCCATTTCAAAAATACTGCTGCTGGTTTAAAAAGCATTCGAATGGCGTTTAGGCTAAAAATACATTTCCTGACCTCTGCTAAAGATGCAACACCCATCCGAAACTCTCAGGTCTCAGGGACTGGTGCAAGCTTTCCAAGTCCCAGAGTTCAGAAAACAATGGAGAAGCAGCGTTTCAGTGTAGCCAATTTAAAAGTGTTTCTATTGTAATGTCTTTAATCTCTTTGTAAACGCACTTTGAAATTAACTTGGTTCGAAAAGGGTGCGATATAACCAAATAGCGCTTGCATTGGCTCAAATCAAGCTAAGTAACCATCCTACAGCTTGGTTTTTACAAGCCGCCGGATTTACACTGTGGCAAGAAAAAAGAATGACAATACATTTTTTTTTTCTTAAAGGTTAATAAACCAAGGTGACTATTTTAGTCCTTTCTCTGGAGAGTACAAGAATGGAAAAGAGTGCAGCAGCGAACACACTGAACATGTATGTTTTTATATAGAAGAACGATTTATTAAAAAAGCAAAAACATTTTGTATGAGATGACATAAAAGTGCGGTTTAGCCAGCTGAAACGTTCTGTCAAATTGTAACTTTCCCTCCTTCATTTGGCAAGTAACACATAGATTCATCCTTTTTCCTCATGATTTCCAAATGAGGGATTGCAGTATCAATCCAACGGTGCCCGACGCTAGCCGCCCTGCGAGGCAAACTGCTGGCAGACCGGACTACACCGTACAGCCAGGATCAAAAGGTTAATATCAACCTATGCAGAACACTGGGTACACTGATATTACCATATTCATCATTAGTTTAACCAAAAGAATTAAAAATGCAAAAAACATAAAAGTGATGATCTTTACTGCTGCCTGCAAAAACAGCCGACTGTACTGTCGGTTGCCACTGCTCCGCGTTAAGCCACTGCAGCAGCTGACATCATGCCGGCAGCATAGGAGCCTGCTGCGATCCCGACGGAGGTGAACCCTACGGCGGGCCAGGAACAGCAGGAGCAGCGACGACAGCCCCAGCNGTTTACAGATAACAGATTAAGCTAGGATACCATACCATAGTACCATACATTATACCATAGTGTTGAATACACAGTATTAGGAAACAATTTATACTTACTGGACACAGTAAGTATAAATTGTTTCCTAATACTGTGTATTCAACACTATGGTATAATGTATGGTACTATGGTATGGTATCCTAGCTTAATCTGTTATCTGTAAACGCTCCCTAAATCTACTAATTTAGGGATAATCCACTGACATCCTTTAATACACATGTTCATTTGAATCAGATGTACTGATAATATCCGCATATAAATCTTTAAAATTCTTCTTACTTAAAAGTCCGTCATGAACGGTCTATTATGCTGCAACTCTACAGCTCTGCTAGCCTTGCGCTAACTTCCGGGGAACGATTGAGAGGCTCCATGATCGCCATTGCTGTAACAAAGTGGTCCATGGAGTGAACGGAGATGACGTAACTCTCAGTCTATATGGCGCTGGAGAGACCGAGTCCCCATGCTGCGTGTGATATAGAGTGGCAAGTCCCCTCCCTTCCGGGGAGCTCCATGGTACCTTATTTCAAAAAGAATATGTATGAAGTCAATGGAGAGAGAAAAGATTATCTTTCGATCCCGTTTGAATTGTGCCAACGAATTACACATAGTTTTTTGTCAATTTAAAAGATATTTTGCAAGTCAAAAAAATAAAACGTGTCGTAAAACTGTGAAGTAACACATTTGTTTGTGTGAAACGCTTAATGAACTACATCTCTGGTCTCGCAGAACAACACACGTCACCAAGATGGCCATCACTACTGTCTTGTCAACAAAACGATTGACTACCCTCACTATCACCACAAGGAAACACGTCCTGAAGAATGTCATGCCAATGGGCCTGCCTGCCTTCCTTTGATTCTCTCTGAACCGCCTGGTCTTTTTAATGTTTAATGTCAACCATTTATGCAGATAGCATGAAGTAGAAAAGATTGGCGCTCACGGATGCTAGCGTTAACGTTAGCATTTCTACCCCGGGCTTACATTGTGTATTATAGAATGATCATACCGGTGACAGTACTCTTCAAAGGGTTCACAAAATATGACTACTACTCTTACTGTTTAACATTTTGGGTTACTTAATGTTACTTCATATTAAGGCTAATAAAAATGACAAGGCTGTAATGCTAACTAACGTGCTATTTACTAGCTAGGTAGCTAACTTGATCCAGCCACTCCTGGTCCTTTCATCAGACGGGAAGCGAAAGAACGAGCAAGACCCATTGCTGGTATGATAACAACCTGGTACTAAGCACACAGGCATATTGTTAAAGTTATCTTATCTTAGCCAGCGCCATATAGATAGATTCTATCTATATGGTGCTGATCTTAGCATCTCTTAGTGGAGGAAAACAATTGTGACATCACTTACGCGACTCTGGGATTTGTAGTCTTTCTAGTTGCGTATTTTTCACAGTCTTATATTCCAACAGTTTTACAAGAAACTTACTTTTTTGACATGGACATTATTTTTTAAGATTGACAAACATCATGTGTAATTCATGGCACAATTCAAACGGGATCGAACGATAAGTTTTCTCTCTCCATTGACTTCAATACATTATTTTTCCGAAATAAGGTCCCATGGACCGGAAGTAGATGGGCGTGACTTCACCACTCTATATTCGATTCCTGGCTCGTCTTCTCATTGGCTGCTTCGACGATGGGCGGGTCTTCCTCCCCTTCGTTCCTCTGTGATTAATGTCGCAAAAATAGAGGATTTAGACGTTGTGTGTTTGTTGTATAACTCCATACGCCTATTCTCATTCATGACTTTTTATTTAATACATTTTAAAAGGCTGAAAACATATATTACGTGTAGCCGGAAGTGACGTTATGTAACACCGGAATTGACGTCATGTAAACGACAAGATTGTCCTTCAAAATAAAGCTTTTCAAAATAAATGGTACATCCGTTCAATATTCAAGTATCATATTGATTTGAATTTCTTACAAAGCAGAGGTGGTGGGGATCGGCGCCCGCTATTAAGCCAGGGCACGAAGGACAGCCGCGGGTTTCTAGAAGTGGCAACTCCATGAAGGTATGATAACTTCTTTCTTCTTCTTTCAAATGTTTTACTTTCCTCTGTCAGGTGTTGTCCTGCTCACTGAAGAGAAAAAGGCTGACTGTCAGGAGGCGTAGCCGCCTTATATACTGTGGGCAAGCGCGTAGTATACACGTTCTCCTGGCGAGACCTCAAATCATCTTCGTAATATCTATCAAACTATATATCCTACACATCCACTGGACCTGGATTCTAAAAGTACAATATACACTTAACGCTAGAAATCTAATCCAAAAGCATTTTGTTACGCCCAGGTCTAGGGGAACCTAGGCGCAGCACAAAATGTGCACTCTCCCCACTCTTCCCACTCCCAAGAACACGGACACCGAATCAGAGAAAGCGTTTGGTACATTTATTTACCAAATATATACAAAAACCGGGGATATCCAAAATGGTGTTGGTTCGGCGTGAGGAATTTGTTGCAACCGTCAAATCACCTCCCTATCGCCTTAACTACTCGCAAGTCCGTGGTACGGAAGTCGGCAGGAAGGTAGGAGTCTCAGGAAGCTCAGAAGTGTCAGGAAGCTAGGAAGTCTCAGGAGGTCACAGGATCCCAGGAGCCTCAGAACCTCAGGCAATCTCATGGCAATCAGGAATTCTCAGGAATACCGCAGGCAATCAGGAACTCTCCCAGGTAAAAAGGAAATTCCCCCCTTTATACAAACTAAAAAATTCAACGCCCCCCATGCTGGGACCAGTCAATAACACATAACACCACATCTCTAAAGGAGGAGGCACACACCACAACTACTCGTTCGTCCACCACGGGCCCAACAGACTAATCGTTGGGATGAGTTTGTCCGACTAACCAGGTGTGGACCCCTGCCCTCCCTATAAAATTGACGTCGGCACGTCCAAGGAAGCCGCGAGACGCTAGGTGAAGAAATGAGGGCGCGGCGCAAAAAACTTATAAAATATGATACCACACACTCGCTGAACATAGCAAACAGAAGGAGACGACGCCCGGTCACAGTGAAATGGACAAAAAACGTTCTGTCTAATACAAGAGTCCTCACGGTTTGGGAAAACAAAAGAAAAGGGAAACCCAGCTAGCAAAAGAGGACAAATTCCATCCATCCATTCTTCGACATATAAAATAAGAGCCAATCCATCTAAAACTAAACATTGCAACAAGAAAAAACAACAACGATGAA